CTGGGCATAAAGGTGGAAGAAGAGCACTACTGGGTCCACCTGAACATCTGTCAGGCTAGAGGTGCATAACATGGGAAATCAGAGCAACACAATGCCTCCCCCCAAAGCCTTCAGAAATTGTCACCGATATTATATATACATATATTTTTTACAAAGAGGAAAGGTATTAAATACGTAACAGATAAATAATCATCTTCATTATAGTTCTTAAACTAAAAATGGAAAGGAAACCATGTGCCTTTTTATGCTTGTTTTGATTCCATCCAGTAGTTTTTGGAATGCAGCTACAGTACCGGTAGACCCAAGTGAAGGCTAAGTATGGTCCTCAACCCACCTCTGATCTAAGACAATTTCCCATTTCCTACACTGGGTAACCAAATGTTTCCACAGAATAGACCACTGTTTCCACTACTCTTCAGAGACAATATTTCCTCTTAATCCTGCCGTGAAGGAGATTTCAAAAAGCCATCATGGTTAGTAGCTATCTTCCATGAAGTTTACTCAGCCCCCTTAGAAAACTAGTGTCCATCACTCTGTCTAAAATCTACTGCCAGTAGATTTCCATAGGCCTACTATGTGCATATTCCAGTGTTCAGGAGCTACTACAGAAAAGGCCCGGTTAACATTTGCAACCTTTCATCAGGGCTTTATTTGCCAATAAAAATACCAAACAGAAAATGGCAACCGTATACATAACAAAACAATCACAAGGAGACGCCCACTCAATTGGCCCCCAGTGCCTGGGGGAAGAGCCAGGTCTTATCGGATTTCCTAAAGGTGAGGAGAGTTGGGACCTGTCATGTATCGGAAGGGAGATCATCCCAGAGAACAAGGGCAACCACAGAAAAGACACACTTCCTATGTCCCAAAAGATGATAAGATTTAAAAGAAGGAAGATGGAACATGCCCTCCGTGGGGGAGTGCATGGGGCATGCAGACGTTCTTGGGAGAAGGTGGTCCCTAAAGTAAATATTGTGCTTGGCCTATGGGCCCTGATTTTTGGTACACCCCGTATATATTTTATTGCTGAACCAGCATCTGGGAATTAGGAGAATTACAATCCTAGGCAGCAGTTAGTGCTGGAAGACTGGCCTAGAGTCCAGAGCACTTAGGACATTACAGATCAAGAGCGATACTACTTTGTTCAAGCATAAGTAACAGCTCCTTTAAAAAGGAAGCACGTCTGAAAACATGGAATGCAAGTAACAATACCTTCCTGGCATAATTAGATTGCCACTTCAAACCTCTGTTGGTTAATGAGGCCCTACAAGAAAGAGCTGAAGGCGTTAAGATATGTTTAGCCTGAAGAAGAGATTATTAAGAGGCAACATGTTAGCAAAAAATATCTGAAAAACTGCCCTGCTCTAACAAGGCTCCAGAGCATAGAATTCAAATCCCAGGGGAAATAAAGAAGAAAGGGGTTTTGACTGAGCACTTATAAGAACTTCTTAACGCCCAAACAGTTCAGTAGTGAACCAGTTTGGTATATTGGTTAAAGGCACCAGGCTAGAAAATGGGAGATTGTGAGTTCTAGTCCTCCCTTAGGCACCCAAGCCAGCTGGATGACTTTCCGCCATTCCTTCTCTCTCAGCCCTAGGAAGAACATTTCCAAGAAATCACCAAGAAAACTGCACAGACTTGAGTAAATATTGACTCAAACACACACACACACACACACACACACACAGAAACAAACTGATTAAAAATGAGTTTATGTATTTCAGGGGAAAAACGAGTTACATTTGCAAGATGCATTTAACTGGGCCACGAGCAGGATTGGTGTGTCATGCAAAACCATAGCCTACTCAGTAGTGGGCTTGAGGGGTTCAGTTTTAGCCTGGAAGAGCCCTACATTGTTTTAAATGAAACTACTCTCCCCTAGTCAGCCATGCTGGACAAACAAGGAAGAGAGAATTAACCCTCCCTTCTTCCTGCTGGCAGGAAAATGAAGATAAAGAGCACTCCTGCAAAAAGTAGGCTTTTCTAGGAATTCTGCCTCTACTTTTACTTTTTATCACTACCCTTCTGGCCACATGGGAGGACTGAACATGGAAGAAGAAGTGGGGTGGGTGAAGGAAACTTTGTATGGCTGGTGACAATTGGGTCATTGTGAATGTTCAATCCTAACAGTTAAAAAAAGGGTGGCAGCAGAGATCCCGTCAAAGACAGTGATTCTCCATTTGCATCACCAGCCTATGAAGATATTTTCTGCGGAAGAGCTGCTAACTGGGTCAGCTGTATGATGAGAAGACAGTCACCACAACTGTATAGTTTAGCTCCTAATTCTAACAGCCAACCCTGTGAATGGAACTCCAGCATTAGGAATAACTGTACTGCCTTCATAATGGAACCACAACTCAGCTGTAGAGCACATGTTTTGCATGAAGAAAGCCCCAGGTTCAGTTCCAACATCTCCGGTCAAGAGCTCTTAGACAGGAATTCTGCAATAGCCTGTGCCTTACAAAGTTGATGCCAATCAGAATCAACCTCAATCATACAAAAGGCAGCACCATATTCCAATGCCTCCGTCTCCTGCCCCCCATCCATAATACTCCTATACCTGTTCATATGTTGCCTTGGATCTTAAGGCAGATTCCAACTGTTCTGCTCCAATAGTATAGATGGCTGAGCGATACTGTGTGCCAATGTCTTTGTATTGCTTCATCCCTGGAAAAAATTGAGGCCACAATGCATGTTATCAAACAGAAGATAACCAAACAGATTTACATTGCTGAGTCTTCCTCATCCCACTTCAACCTGAATAATAAACAGTTCGGGGGCGGGGGGGAGTTTTATCTTTGAGTATTTCCATTTTATCCATTCCATTAAAATGAGTGAAAACAGACAGAAAATGTAGTGCTAGATGGATCAGTGGTCTGATTCAATAGAAGGTAACTTCTTTTTTTTTTCCATTCTGAAGTTCCTCCTAAATTTAGGGACTAGCATTTCAAAGGTCATCTAATTTCACAAATTTGATTTCTGTATCCATATCCAATTTTTCTTTCCTGGAAAAATATCAGTAACCACTAAACCCAGAATGACAAGTTCCAAAGTGACAACATACACAGTTCATATATCTGCTAGATAGCTTATGAATTCAGCAAAAATTGCAGCTTTTCACCAAGAATTAAATATTAAAGAGATAAGCATTCTAACACATTTATTATTGCCTTCCTGGATCAATCCACCATCAATCCAACCAGAGTTTGTTGAACTCTGATCCAGAAAAAGTTACCAATAATAAGATACCACAGGACTTCGCTGTTTTTGCTGCAAAAGATGAACATGAGCTACACTTATCTAACAAAGGATCTGTACCGTACAATAACATGCAAAAACTTTTCCTTCAAGAGCAAATAAAAAATAAAGTAGGAATCACTCAAATGCAGCAGACTACATAGCATTATAACCACCAACATCATTCACTCATAAACCCACATGGTCCATCCTTAGCTAGAGCATTGCAACAAATGTGCTCTTTACTAGCATTGGGAGAGTCTTAAATCTGAATCCCAAGTTCAGGGGTAATAGCTGGAAAAGGTCTGCCTGAAGAGGGGCTCTTAGTGAGTAGGATGGGGCTGCCTGCCAATGGTGTTATGGCAGGGACAGAGCCAAAAGCGGGTGAGGTGAAGGGTTCCCTTTTTGCTTCCCAAGCAGCTGGATGCCAGGGAAGGAATAGACAACTCTTGTCAGAGGTCATCATTGATGGCTTGTAAAGGACATCTGAAATTAGGTCAATGGCTCCACATGAATCTATGAGCTACAGGTTACCCATCCCTGGACCTCAAAAAGCTAAACAAGGTTGGATATGAATGGGAGACCCTTACAAATGGGAGACCATTAGGAAGTCCCAGGACTGTAGGCTAGACAGTCCCAAAGTAACACAAAAAGCTAAGAAGGCAGTGGCAACCCATTTCCATGCTATTGCAAGAAAATTGCCTGGAGGTGGCCATGTAAGTCACCAGGAGTCAAGCTTACTTAAAGGAAATTTTAACTTTTTCTTTTGTGTCTGACAATGTCACTAGGACAGAGTAGTCACCAATGTTCCCCAGCTATAGGGCATCTCCTTTTGAAATCTAGCGCACAATGACTGGGGGGGGGCACAATTTTTCCCCTCTCCACGTGCTCGCTCCCTAATATGCCATCTACACTGGCAACGTTACTCATTAAAACACAAACACACCATTACACACCCAGAGGAGGGCCCAGCCGGTGACACACAGAGAATGCTAATTTCCTCATTAAAATTACACTTCATTACAAAAATGCTCGGTCTTCCTAAGGCCTTCAACCCTCCCCCCCTGCTGTTGCTCAGTGTTGACGTGAGGTGGGTTACAAACAGCCCTCCACCCCTCCACTTCCTCTGGTTATTAAAAAAAAGGGGAGGGAGAGAAACATTAGAAATCCCCATCATCCCCTTCTTTGCAACTGAACCTCTCCCATCTCAGCAAAGGCTCCGTTAAGAGCTTCGTCTTTCCTGGCCCCTGGTGGGGAGGTGGGAGAAGCCATTTAAAGAGACACAGTAGCCTGAAAAATGAGGTTGGCTTACAAAATCAAGAGGGGTATGTGATTTCTTAAGAGAAAAGATCTGCCTTGGGACTTCAGAGCAAGTCAGCCTGGAGAAATTAGGTATTCTTTGGCTAGAACCATCAATTGAGCTCAGCAAAAAAAGAAAAAGAGAAAGAAATGGTATGAAGAGGAAGAAGAGGAAGATTAACCCAACTCAATGAGGTATATTCAAAATACTCCAAGCAGCTTTCCATTCAGGCATGGCCTCTGTCTAGAACTCTGTGTCTGTTGCATTACAGATTTTCAGGCTAACAAGTCAGGCAATCTTGGAATCCCTGAAGCTTCCCATTCTTGGCCCATCTAGCTCCATATTGCCTACTCTGCAGTATCATGCAGGTGGGACAAGAAATCTCTTTTTTCTTTTTTCTCTCTCTGGAGGGCAATCTTGACCATTGGGATTGAATCTGGTTTTTTAAACCTGCACTTAAATATTTTGGGGTATATGGTCCAGATTTCACATATATACCTTCTCAAAATGGTGGGAAACCACAACACTCATTTTCAGCCATGGTGCTATTGAAGCTCAGTGGTGAAGTTGGAGGGAACTCCAAGAGCAACACAAGAGGATTTTCACAGAATGTAGTCCTAGACCCATAAGCTGCCCAAGCTTTAACTAAACAGGCCTTTGATTGGTCTGGGTATAACAGTGTTTATCAGTTCTTGAGCATCTAAAAACATAATATTAAGATCCTATATAATATAAAATCATGGAACTAAGAAAGCCATAGAACTAAGAAACCCCATCAGTAGGTTCAAAAGACACAAGGAAGTTAAAAACCAAATATGAAAAGAGGACGATGTACCATTGTATGAGAAGACACACACACTCCTTCAATGCAGTGTTATAGTAACTACTGATAACTTAGATTCTTATAAGATCAGCTCAGCCTTGTTTCCTCCAAAGATCTACAATTCTCTTCCTTCCCAGCCACCATGGCTGTTAATAGCCCAAGCCTCTTCAAATGACAGCCTCCCATAATTGGCCATGCTGATTGAAGAATGATAGGAGCTGTAGTCCAAGATGCCTGGGGGGTGCCATACCAGCAAAGCTGCCTTAGGACTGCTTCCAAACATAATTCCTCTCGATTTGCTAGAGTATTGCTTATATTGCTTATAATTAAACAAAAGGAAATAGTTGCAGAAGATTGACTTCCCACATTGCACCTTCCCTGACCCCAGATTTTACCTTGGGTTGGATCATGGTTCTCCCAGAAAAATTGGAGGAGCTTTTCATAGCTGATCTTCTGTGGGTCAAATACCACTCGGACCACCTCTGTGTGTCCTGTCATCCCTGGAAAGGGAATGGAGAAAACCATTAAATTAGAGCTTTCCTTGAGCCTTGCCAGTGGTTATGACCAGTGGAAGTTCACCCAGTTATTGGGTCAGTTGGATGTTGCTGGCCCTTCTGTCTTGCAAATGATATGCTCTGCTACAAAGGTATCACAGACTATTGTTATCAAGCCACAACCCTGACACAGTCACATTCTGCCCATGCTTTGCTAAAGTGCCCTGCCACTGAGGAGGGGGGTCCTTCCTAGGAAGGTCTAGTTTTGTCAACCAGTTCTACCACAGTTGCCAACCCAGTGATCAGGGTCAGCAAAACGGCAGGACTCCATCAGGACAAGTCAATGGTTATTAGCCAGTGGGTGCTCTTGAAAAGCAAGTAAGAAAGAGCTTCCTTTTTACTGTGTTTGATCTATTATATTATTAAGCTAAAGTAGAACACTTTCTGCACTGGCTCAATGCCTCTTTGCCCTTTGGATAATTTGGAGGCCGATGTTTTTGCAACCTTTTCTTCATCCCCACCATCTCAGCCTTAAAAGTACAGGGAGAAGGGGGGCATATTTTAGAATTTTATTGTGGCAAAAGCCCTAAAGATATCCAACTGAAACTTGGTAGGGTTAACATTCTCTAAAGCTGTGTTTCTCAAACTTGGCAACTTTAAGATGTGTGGACTTCAACTCCCAGAATTCCCCAGCCAGCATGCTGCTCTAAAGAGTCTATTGGTTTGCTATTGGTCTGCTTTCAACACTCAAGGTGTAAACTCCAAAAATCAAATTAGGGCCAATATACACAGGACTAAAGTGTAGGTTCAGGAGCATCAAGGTGATGGTTGTGATTGCACAATTGAAGACCTACCCCTTCTATACCCATTGTAAAAAAGGACAAGGCTTTGATCACACAATGGAAGTTGTCACTTTGATTTTTTTGACCTCTCTTCCTGCAAATAACCCTGCAAAGGTTTATGGTAAAGAGCAGATGGTAACCCTAGCCAAAAACTAGGGCACACCTATTATGCCTAGAAACACCACTACTCCATGAGTTGCACCAGCTCCCAGGAGGTTTCCAGGTGCAATTCAAGGTGCTGGTTATGATCTATAAAGCCCTCCATGGTGCAAGGCTAGGTTATTTGCAGGACTTGCTTTGAGGCAGAGTCATCTAATGGGACCTTGCTGCACCTCCCCTTCAGAATAAGCTCCCCCAAATTTGGGTGGCCCTAACCCTATTAGCCTTTGGGAGAGCTGCAAAGACCTGGCATTTCTCCCATGCGCTGGGCTGGATGGTACGTGAGCTCATCCTACTGTGAGAATGATAGCTTCAGCTCAGCTACATGTCTGATGGTGCTCTAGTGCCTTGATTTGATTTTTATTTTGTTATTATTCTGATTGATATATACCACCCAGAGTCCAAAATTATGATTTGGACACCCTTATACACTTCTTGATCAAATAAATCAGTCCCCAGTACTGGAAGAGTAGGGACCATGAAAAGCTATAAGAACTAGGTGGAAAGCTGAGGGCAACTTCTCCCACAGCTTCTTCCCAAAGGCCTTGATGTCACTTTCTTTTCCATTTAAGGCAATGTGGTTCAAGCGAAAGTGAACTTGTTCTGTGGGAGCTCATCTATAAACCAGGATTAATATCAGCAAATATAGACTCCTGTCACAGTACTGTCAGCCACTGCTCTTCCAAAATGTTGTCACTCAAAAGCCCAAACGAACCACATGTCTTCTTGGCATGCTTGTTTAAGCAGATAATATTCATACCACATATTAAGCAGCATGGTAGGGGTTAATCTAGAGCCTTTATCCCACTTGGAAACACTTGACACATTCCCATTAGATTAATATCACCTGTCTAAAGGAGAAAGTTCTTCCACTACTGCACCCTCATCCCCTCATGGAGTTAGAGATTCTCATCAGAGATGCTTTTCCCTGGAGCGATTTCTAGTTAATTTTGCTCAGGCAAGGCTACTGACCCTCACGTGGCAATTAGGAGGAAAAAAGGGGGTTGTGGTGGGGCGGGGTGGTTGATGTTCAATCCCACAGGCAACCAGGCTAGAAGCTGAGTGAGCAATCCATGCCTCCTATGCTGGACCCTAAGGGGGCGGAGAGGGGATCACCAGATAGTGTAAAGAAGAGACAGGGGTGGGTGGATGGGAAAAACAAAGCTTGTCCCACTGGCTCTCCTGCTACAAGAGAGGCAAAGGGGACCACCAGGCAGGTGATATAGGACTGTTTAGTTCTCCCAAACACAATGCAGTAGAAGCAAGTAATGTAATGCAATGTATCTCTTCCCCCCACCCACCCCCCAAATTCTATTCAAGCTGTTTTCCAAGGTAATGTTTTCCAGGTCCATCACACACAGTCTCTGGAAGTTGAGTATGACCTTGGCCTTGTAGTCCAGAGACTGCCTCAGAGAAGGCCTAGGGAACATTCATGCTCTTCTGTGGCAGAGATATGCAACAAGAGCACTCCCAGGTCAGCCTGCTTCAATCAAGTTCAAACATGCCAACTTGCACAGCTACGTTATCTCTGCCCTCTGCTGCACCCAAGGGGGAACTGCATACCTGCAGGACAACTATCCCACATACTAATTAGCAAAGTAACTCAAGGATCATAAGAAGCTGGAAGCAGGAAGGATGAGGGTCGAAAGGGAGGTAAGTCACAAATTCAGTATCTCCATCCCAAAGCTGCTTGAACTAGAGCCTCTCCAGATCCATTAATGTAGAGCAGTATTTCTCAACCTTGGCAACTTTAAGACCGGTGGACTTCAACTCCCAGAATTCCCCAGCCAACCACGTAGAGAGTAAAGAAGATGACCCTGATGGAGATATGCAGGAACCATTACCTAGGCCAGTGTTGTCCAAACTTGGCCACTTTAAGATGAGTGTTGGGAGTTGAATTCTGGGAGTTGAATTCCACTCATCTTAAAGTGGCCAAGTTTGGACAACACTGGCCTAGGTAATGGTTCCTGCATATCTCCATCAGGGTCATCTTCTTTACTCTCTACGTGGTTGGCGGGGGAATTCTGGGAGTTGAATTCCACTCATCTTAAAGTGGCCAAGTTTGGACAACACTGGCCTAGGTAATGGTTCCTGCATATCTCCATCAGGGTCATCTTCTTTACTCTCTACGTGGTTGGCGGGGGAATTCTGGGAGTTGAATTCCACTCATCTTAAAGTGGCCAAGTTTGGACAACACTGGCCTAGGCAAAAGGGGCTGAAGCATTTTCTAGGTCCAGAATGTCCAGATAACGTTTGGAAGTAGCTCAGGAAGACACCACCCTGATTCGCTGGAGTATAAGAAGGGGGAGGAGGTTGGTAAACCTCCTTGCAAGATTCTGTTATTAGAGCCGATCTCCGTAAAAGTAGTTTTAGCCTTCCTGGGGAGGTGATTCCCTGGTTCTGGTCTATCTCGTGGGGCTGACAGTTAAATTCCCATAATGTGATGTCAACCAACAGTGTCCTTCCCAGACAAATTAACTGCCTCGAAGTCCAAGAAGTACTGAGTCAAAAAAGGTGGCCATGGCCTCAGTTGGGCAAACTCAAACCTGCTGGGGCATTTTTCTGCTTTCCTGAAAACCACTCCTTCTCCCCTTTCAGCAAACAGTGAATAAAAAGGCTCTGAAAAGGGATTCACGCCAGCAGAAAAATAAAAGGAGAAATCATTGGCATTATCCTTATTCAGTGGAAGTTGGTGGCAACTCTCCCTTTACCATTTTGCGGTGACTGAAGAACTCATCGCCGCTTACACCAAATACAGAAGTCCTTTCAAAATTCACCCTCCAATTAGTGGGCAGAGAAATAGCGGGGGGGGGGGGCTTATTTCTCCAGAAGTTCACCAGCAATTTCTCACAGGTAGGACTTCTCTTTAATGGTGTCAGCAGGAGCTACTGAAAAAGCACAATGGGAGGAATCTGTCCTGATGAAGTGTAAGAAGCCAAGGAAGCTGCAGACTTCAGAGAAGATTATCCCGAGCATTTGCATGCACACCTCTATCATTAAGGGCAGGAATATCATGCTTCATCCACAAGAGCTTATTCCACAGTGGCCCCCTCCTTATATAATACCATTTTGTGGGGAAAGATCTGGCTCCCTCCTTTGTTGACTCCACCACCCCAATCAGTATACCTGTGATTTACCTGAAAATACAAGCCGCGAGACAAAAATTGGGAGATATAGGTACAACCTGCCGATCTGACAGATTAATCGTTTTGGAAAGCAGTGTAAGTGATTGCGTGCGTGCATGTGAGTGTGTGTGTGTGTGTGTCAGCCAGGAAAAGAGATTGTCTCCCCTCCTGCAATATTGACTTTAATACCCAGAATGTAGGTGACAGATGTGGTGAATGTTTCTTTCAGACAGATAATCTTCCACACCCACACTCAAAATGCTTTTACAGTTAAGCTGCAAAACCGTCTGCTCTGATTTCTGCTGGATCCAGATTGAGGAGGAAGGATTAACTCTGCCAATAAATGCATCTGCCTGTGGAAGGCAAGAGAAGAGACAAGCGTTCCACTGATGTTCATAAAAGGAAATGCTGCCTCGCAGGATGTACAAAAGTCACTGATCCAGGAACAGCACACTCTAGGAGGAGGTGCATCATGGTCCAAAGGGAACAGAACATTCCAGAGTTCTCCAGATCCTTCCAGAGTTCCATGGAATATTCCATTCCCCAGATGGTGCTGTTTTGCACATCCCTACCCTCCTCTCTTTAACCAACAGACTCCTCTTTTGCCATCCTGCAGCTGCTTGATAGCAGAGGTACACAGGGAACGTGGCCACAAGGCTGCCTTGCCTGGAGCCTCCATTCAATGGGGCCAGCCATATGATGACCTTTCTGGAGTAGACAGGTTAATATTTAGGAACCCCTACTGCCAGCTTTGGATGGAAGATTAAAGGGTGAAATTGGTACCTTGAGCCATTTTGGCCCTTAAAACTCCCCCAAACTGGAGAGTGGTCTTAAAGGAGACTTACTACAAGGATTTTTGCTCCTTCAATCCCTCCAAACTTCTGAAAATGGATAAAAATGGGAATATATTAGCCTTTCTTCACAGGGAGATCACTGGGAGGCCAAATGTGAGCTGCAGGCTACCCTGTTTTAAATTCTACCATGAAAACTCCAGTGAGTACCCAATAATGGTCTGAATGCACCATCAGTTGACAAGCTTGAGATCTGGGTAGGGAGAACCATGATACAGAACCAGGCCGAACTTTGGGAATGGGCCACACAGGGCACTATGTGTCTATTCCCCCATGGCTGTAGGAAGGGTGCTGAGAACTGTAGCTGATCCCATCTCAAACTAGAGATGACACATCATTCCTAGCAGGTGTTGCGGTTGGTTGAATATGTCCCATATTGGGGGAAGAAAAAAAGCAAAGACATAAAGGCTGGTTGTATTTCAAATCTGTGTTCTGCTATGATCTGGTCTGGCAGAAAGTAGAATGTAATCAAACATTATATGAGCAGAGATAAATGTTTAATGAAGCACTGGGTTAAAAAAATAATCTGGGATCAAAGTTTTACCCTAGAATTGTATAGCTGACGTAGCTTCCAGTTTAGGCCTGAAGGTTGATTTCTAACTCTCATGAAAACCAAACCACCCAATAGCAGTGTTCACCGAAACCCTTAAAATGGTTAATTTACACTACGAACAATAAACTAACCATTACCCTATTCTGTAACAGATATAAAGATCTGAAGTTAAATGTTAAACTTAATCAAATGGTTGGGTTTGCACAAAAGGTTAAACCACATACCAACATAAAACCCTACCAAAGTTAAAATTAACCATGCTTAGTGTGTTATTTGAATATAACTGCTAGGTTTGTATGAAAGTTGGGGTGGACAAATTCAACATGATGTAATGAAAGGATGCAGCTGCTTTAAGAGGTAGCCGGTGGATGCCACTCCTACAAGCTGAACAGAATATTTTTGGGAACTGAATCCAAAGGTCTGCACAATCCTGGTTTGTAATTGACTTGGTTAATTAAGCATGTGGTGGGGCATAGCCACACCAATATAAAATTGAAAATCTTTCAGAAAATCAAGGCAACTAAGTTCCAACTTATTTCCTTTGTTTCAGTTGGGGAGAAAGTAAGGTGAGCCTGTGCAGAAGTCCTCTCATGAGATATAACCTCACAGAGAAAGAGATTCCACTCAGAACTCCTTAAGGAGACTTACCGCTGCAGACTTCTTTGTAGGTAGGATTGGGAGTGAAGCCTCCTGAGAAGCCCACCTGTGTGGAGAAGACACCCGGCAGTTTCCAAAACATTTTTTCTGCTCCCCAGAAACATCCCATGCCTGTCAAGGAAGCAAAGAAAAAGAAAAGCTAGCTCAACAAATGAATCACTAAGATGTTTGCGGGGTGCAAGGGAGACGTGGCGACAGTTGGGGAGGGTGTGTAGAGGTGCGTGAGTGGCCAGCGCAGCATGAGGGCAGAGGGACTGGGGGAGGGTGGACAAGTGGGGAGACTTACCCAGTGACTTGCAACCTTCCCTGCCATCAAATGGTGATTACATGATTGCAGGGTACTAGGCAACTGGTCGTAAGTGCAAATGCGCTGCCGAGCACCCAGATTGTGATCACATGACTGCAAAGTTGCTGGGATGGCCGGAACTCTGAGGTCGTAACCACCATTCGTTCAGTGCCATCGTAACTTTGAACTGTTGCTGGCCGAACGGTCGTAGGTCAAGGACTACCTGTACTCAGATAGGAGCCTAACAGGGAATACAAAGGAAGCAGGCCAGACTGAAGTACAGGTAGTCCTCATTTAGCAACCACAATTGGGACTGGCAACTCGGTCATTAAGCAAAGCAGTCACTAAGTGAAACTGAAGCTGTGCTTATGATCTTACTTCAGCTTTTCTTTGCTTTACAGACCTGCAAAGGTTGTAAATGCAAGGGTTGGTCATAAAGTTATTTTTTCATCACCACTGTAACTGCAAACAGTTGCTAAATGAGACAGTTGCTAACAAGGACTACCTGTAAAAAAAAAAAATCCTGGTAAAGGAAAGGTCAAATCAGTTCTGTGCTACTGTCAGAAAACCTATATGGATGTATATGTGAAGTCACCTGGAGTCAAACTCAACTTGAAGTAGACCTGGTGTCCATAGATGAGCCACTGAGGATATCATAAGACATCTGGAAGAGATAGTAATGCTTATTTGGGATCTTACAAAGGGTGTATTTCTGGTCATGGGAAATGTTATAGAATGGAAAGTTGGATTGTCACAGAACTCTCTGTATGTAGAGAGTAAGGAAGATGATCTTGACAGAGATAGGCCAAAGTGACAAGGGAAAAACACGGCTGAAGTCCAAAACAAGAAGAAGGTGTGCACAAGTGACTCAGGCAGGCACCCCCCTAATTCACATGCAAGGGGGAGTAAAGCACAGTCAGACACTTGCAAGATTCAGTCACTGTACCCAATATTAATAAAATTAGTTTTAGCCTTCTATGGAGTTAATTTCTTGGTTTGGTCTCCATAGTGGGGCTGACACTATTTAGGAGGTTCCTGCTTTGGAAACTGCTACCTGATAAGTTTCAAGAGCTCAATTCTTTCTTTCTTTCTTTTTTCCCCCAACTGTCAGTGCTCAGCACTCTGTTTACTGATGTGTATCAGTATGGGCTATTAATAGCTATAAAATGATGACAGTCATTCAAATAAGCAAGTAACAGCAAGGCCAGTATCTTTCCAAGGCATCTACTACATTATTTCTCAATTGCTGGTTCCATACAGTTTACTTTCTCTTTAAAATTAGAATCCAGGATTGTAGCCCCCAAGGGGTGGGGGTGGGGATGTAATTAAGTCTGGCCATGAACAAATCATCACTCACCAAATATTGCCATCTGCACTCCTTCCGGAAATGGAGGATACGTTGAATTTTTATTGACGGCATGAACAGCTGAAAGAAAAAAGCAAAAGAAAAGTCATTAGAGGTAGCCTTCAGTTAATGACCATTTGTCCAGCACCTGTTGAAAGCTATGACAGCACTGAACAAGGAGACTTATGGCCGGTCCTCAGAGATGCGGCCGTCACAGTGTTCCCATGGTCACGTGGTCACAATTTCAGCTCATGGCAACCAGCTCGCAATTATGACAGTCACAGCACCCCACAGTCACGTGATCACCATTTGTGACCTTCACTGCCAGCTTCCCACAATGGGGAAGTCCTTGGTTTAACGATGGCAACTGGGACTGCTGAAATTGCTGTCGCTAAGCAGTGCAGTCACATGACATCACGCTTTACGACCATGTTGCTTAGTGATGGGTTCCCAGCCCCAATTACCATCATTAACCGAGAACTACCTGTATTCTGAACTCTGCTTATGCTTAGCCTACACATTCATACATAAAATGAAAAATACTACAAAGCATCCAGATACCTCCACTGGCCTCTTTTCTATGAAAGCAAAACACAGATTACTTAGTCCTTTCTTACAGTCCATGTTCAAAATCCTACTTAAACATGGTAGAATTTTTCTTTTTTAGAAATTAAAATTTACAAAATAAAATAAGATAAAAATAAAGAGTAACTAAATAATCAATATTATTGGTTGCCTTGGGTTTTGAAAACAATAAAACAAAATCTGGCCACATTCCCAAAAAATGGAATCATATTGGTTGGCTAATAACATACCATAAATCTGAATGATCCAGAATGTATTTAATAAGGGGAATACCAAACATAGCTGTGCCTTTTTATAAAATGGGCAATGCACCAATGCAGGGATGGTATTTTCAACTTCCCCTTTGCTACAGGATAAAGAATAAGGGATTTTCTTGAGCTTTTCTTCAAGAAAGGCTGTTGGAAGTGGTTTAAAATGTGCTAGGCTCTCCTAAACTTAGGGATGGATGTTTGGTTTAAAAATCTTACTGGTCTAAAAAAGGGAGACTGGCTACTCCAAAAAAAGTCTCTAGGGAGGTTTAAGGTTAATGAAGTGTGTAGGCATGATAGTAAATTCCCCGTCAGGTTTTTGCATGAGAAGGAAGAATGGGAAGAAATCCATTCGACTCCCATGCACACACAGGCTTCACTAATTTCACATTTTCAGACCGAAACACAAACCGAAGCACGATTATCCTTCAAAGTTAACCTTTTTCTGAATTTCGCAATATCATTCACCAGATTAAGGAAACAATATACTCATATATATCAGGCCCCACTCAGCTGGGCAAAATCAAGGAAGCAAGAATGATAAACTTCGGTAAGATCTCTTTAATGCTAGAATTAGGGGTAAATACTGAAACTTGGAAATTAAAGGGGGGATTTCCAACCCTTCTTTATTCATGACTTCCTTAAGGTAGAGTCTTTTGAAATGTTTTGAATAATTTCTTCCCAGATTTCTCATCACCTGGGTTGAGTTGCCATTCATGAAATAAGCTACTACTTCATTCTCTTTCTACCTCTTGGTAGGTTACATCTAAAGATCCTCACAGCGCTTTACCAGCCTCCCCACAATCTCTCACATTATTTTATAGAAAGTTCTATACAAAAAACACCCCATACAAAAGTACATTATATTAGGGGAAATTGTTCATAAAAACTGTACCTTGGGTAATGGTGCAAATAACAGTGCATGGATGGGAAGAACATGCACAAGAACAAATGTAAATTTTAGTATTTTTTTTTAAAATTCAAACTAGTAGAACAATGAACGAAATGAACTTACAAATTTAAAAAAATAAGAAACTGAAACTGCCACTGACACATTTAATCATCCCTGTGAAACACAAATGTCCTGGATAGTTTTGAATTTAAGGACTATGGCAACATATTCAGCAGGAACATAACTACCATCAAGTTATAGTACAGAGGTCACCAAAGCAATGCATTGTGCAATCAACTAGAATTTTACAAAATGGTTACAAGCTTTCAAGTATCCAAGCATTCTTCATCAGGCAAGATTTAAAAAAAGCCAGGAAAAACACAAGGTGAGGAGGAAAAATGTGACTAATATTGAACCTACATCACTACCAAGTTACATTCTGAGATGAAGTCCCCAGTTATGCAAAATGAGTTTCTGGGTACTGTTTGGCCACATAATCTCCCCCCCCCCAAAGTTTGCTAACCATACAGTCCACTCTTTATAGGACTCTGTATTGAAAAATATGAATTCCAAGCATTAAAAATAGACATTTGCAGGATATACATATCCATTGCTCCATGGGGAAAGGAGTCAAGGCAATCTTCATATTATCAAAACCAGACATAATGTTGGTAATGAGTGGGGAAGAAACTGCTATTCAGAAGGATTCTTAAGACAAGACCCTTGTTAGTCTTCTCAAGGGTCTCCATTACACACACACACACTGCACCCAAATTAGTGTGTGTGTGTAATGGAGACCTTTGAGAACACCATACCTAATGCCAAGTTAGTCTGCATATGGACAATGCTCCTCTCCCCAGGCTTCCTAAATACTAAACCCAGAAACACTAGCTCCAGCTGAGAAGTCATTCCACGGTCTCATAATCTGATCATCCACAAGTGTGGATGCACAAACATCCCCCACCCCAGATTAAGGCTCCATAAACCCTAATCTTATTGTTTTCCCCTCAGACCCAGAATTCTACGTGAAGAATTCTATTTTAATTAATCTTTCTAATCTCCTATGTTCATGTTACAGGACATACTGAAAATGCTCCCTTTTCTCTCCCCAGCTTCGTAGAAAGAATGGGCTAAATTTACAGACAGCCACTGAAAGTTCAGATGAATGCTGTAGTTTAATGTTGTGGTTGATGAGGAACCCATTCTTAAGGTGAAACGGGAAGCTGCTTTTACTATGCCCTATAATGATAAAGGAGAAGTGAGATTAGCCCCATCCCTCTTAACGTTCCTTAAGTCCCCCAAGACCTGGCTATGTGATCAGGCCTGGGGTTCCCAGGGGACTGGGGAGATTTTATGATGGCCCCCTTATTAATTTTATCACCTCCTGTTTTGTGTGTTTTTACTGCTTTTTATATGTAGTTGTTTTTATGTATTCATTTCTTTAATCGTTGTACGCTGCCCAGAGACACCTTGTATAAGATGGGCAGCTATATAAATATGATTGATGAATGAATGAATGAATGAATGAGAGCCAGTTTGGTGGAGTGGTTTAAGGCACCAGGCTAAAAACTGGGAGACGGAGAGTTCTGGTCCCACCTGAAGCACAAAGCCAGCTGGGTGACCTTGGGCCAGTCCCTCTCTCTCAGCCCTAGGAAAGAGGCA